GAAATCTTCCATGTGTCATTAAAAGGAAGGCCCATAAAGTGTGGGAGTGCCAGTGTTGTAGATGAATATGCATACACAAGTCACAATGCACTGACACATTTTCCAGGATTAAGAGTTTCGATTAAAGCCGAGAACAATTTTATAACTCATTTATTGTGACAGTTTTTTTTACTGCTACTGCCAAACCCATATTAAGCTTACAATGCTATCTGTAGTTTCCTTCAGTTTAAGTATAATATTATAAATACTGCATGTGCTCTTATGATAAGCTCAATATTTCATAATTAAATGAATCTTTTGTATTCACACAGTCTACGACGAAACTAGAGAATTTGACCTCCACTTCAAAAATATATCTCAAATTATTAACGCAATGATGGCGACTTAATTCGACATTAAGTTGCGGATGCCTTTGCATTTATCGTGAAAATCACTTATTTAAGAAAAAAACTATACACATCCTTGTTTGATTCAGTAGAACTGTCGGTCTGTCGGTCTTTTTTCCTACAGTGCACCCATACAAATATTTTATTATAGTAGTTTTGGATAAACTCTAAAGTCTCGATTTGTTGCAAACTAAGTAGATTTAAACATTTGTGCAACAAATGAAATATTTAAAGTAAACATGCTGTGACAGTAAAACCCTGCAATGTAAATGGTTGCAAATATGACAAAACAGAATAAAATATGGAATTTTCAGTACTTATTAGTACATAACAAGCGTATTATTGTTAAAAAGTTATATATAATAGTTAGGCAGTTTTGTTATATAAGCAACCATATGTGTGTACATATAAATACGGCGCACGCGTGTACTTAACCTTACTTTCCTATGATTACATACACAGCAATGCAGTATACTCACGGTGTAAAGGTGAGCGTGGCAGTGGTCCTGGCAGTGTGACACTGGTGACAGGTAGATGTGGTGACAGCGTGGACTGAAGCAGCAAATGATCTGTTTCCTATTGGCTCAGGGGAAACCTGCAGTCTCTTTTCAATGTTCCCACCCCTCTGAGGTGGAAATTTCTCAGGTTTCCCAATGTAATGCAGTATGATGTACAGCTCACCACTCTAGTCTGGTGACTCCAAACACACAGTATATACACAAACCCACTCAGATGCACTGTGGAAGAAGACCTATAATGATTTCCAAACAGTTTCCAGAGTCTAAAGGCAGCATTCTTGTCTTACATCTGTTTACAGCTGTTGCTCACTGGAATGAGCTGCTGCTTGTGTCTGCATGGACATCTCTGTTTGTTTTAACACATGAACACACATCATCACGAGCGTCACAATGTACTCACAGCCAGCAATGCTGTGTGGAGCCATGCAGGCAGTTCCCCCTGTTGAGATATTGAGCTGCCTTTAGCCACCCCGTCATAAAGGGTTTTGTACTTTCACTGTGGTTCTGAAATTACTTTTTAAAAATTGTGTTCATTGAAAAGCTGTCATTTAAAAGACCCTCAAAACCTTTCTGCTTTCTTACCACTCTTTCTCACAAGCTCTAAGCAATTTGGACACAATAAGGCAATTTGTTTATTCACAGTTGTGATTAAACTGGTGGAGTAGGACAGCTCACCAGCTGTGGCGACACCTTCTACAGTATGTGAGCGTGCACACCTTCACATAAGCAGGGAGCGTTTGACATTTCACTAAGCAGAAACAAGAAAAGCAGCAGTTTTGCTGATGTCGACATGATAAATGATTTAATGTTAGCGTAGCTGAAACTGTTACTCATTTGGGATCTAAACCTTTAGTCATAATATTACTGGAATTCTGGATTTCAATGTTCTTATTATAAGAAATATAAACTTTTCTTCGAGGGATCCAAAGACATTTGCAACTACTTTATTCATCATTTATATATCATTACTCCTCCTCAGTATGCCATTTATAAATACAGATATTATTATGATTATGATTATTACTAGCACTGATGGTGTAGCACTCATGGCTGTACAAAGTGTAACAGTAACAGATGGATGAATATATCTGTATTTATAAATGGCATACTGAGGAGGTGTAATGATATATAAATGCTGAATGAAGTACTTGCTAATACATTATTAATGCTTAACAGTGTGGCACTGATATAAAGTATTACCTTTTATTTATATTATGTATTTTGAGAGAATAATCTAGCTCAGAGGTGGATGCCTCAGACAATCAGCCTGGCAGTGTTATTGGATTTAGCACTGAAATAGTTTTAAAGGCTTTTTCTAATAACTGGTTTGCAATTTAACACAATAAGCTTACATTAGGTCACACTATATACTACTGAAAAACAGAAACCTACTTAGACGCTGCATTAAAAATTATACATTTATTTTACATTTAAAAAGTGTAATTTGTTTAAGAAAAAAGAAAAGAAAGGATCCAAACTCGTCCATTTTGAGGTTTTTTGTTTCCCTCGGCCAAATTTGTTTACTCAAACATTTAGAAAATGATATGCATAAGTTCTGCACATGTCCACAAAGCTTGCCCTCCGTATAACTAGAACAAAAGACAATTGCAGTATAGTTTTATTTTATTTCATCTAGTCTTATAAGCAGAAATATCATTGCAGTAGATTTTCCAAAATCCACAAATATAAACTGTGTTCGTTAGAAGAGAAAATTGGCATCCAGCTTTGCAGTTATTATTATTAAAACACAGCTCCGTAGTATTGCAGTGACTCATTGCTCTGTCATCTCCTTGCATAGCAAATACAGCGTCCATCTCTTGCGCATTAATCCTGCATTGCTCACTTTGATCCTGACTGGACATTTTCCAGTGTAGGTGTATGCGTATGTATGACATGAAAACACTGAAGTGATGGAAGTGATGGGAAATAATCCCATGTCAGGGTAGTGTTCACAACACAGGAAAAGGTTCCTGTTTAGATTCAGTGTATTTGATTACAAGTGAGACCAGCACATGTAAATAACAGTACTTGACTACATTCTAGAAAATGGCAACTTTGTGTCACAGTCCTTTTGAACTTTAGCCCAGTGTATCCATATAATGTGTAATCCTGTAATCCTCCACCTGCAAACTCATGAGTCCCATTATCCTCGACCATCTCCTTTATCAAAACCTGCTTTAGCAGCTGTGTCACGTGTGACATTTTGTGTAAAACTACGATAGTTTCCCATTAAGGTAATATTTATGCATTCAGGAAATTTGCAAACATGCAAACGTATGAGTGTTGACATGTAGGCCAGAGATACACATTTTTTTGGTTGCTGTAGCCTTTTCCAAATAGTTTATCCAACAAAAATAACAATATTTATTACACACTTGGTATCAGAAGACAGGAACGGGGCGGATAATGCACAGCTATGCACAGGCCTTTATCACACACACACACACACACACACACACACATAAACGCATATATCCAAATTAGCCAGTATCTTTAACGCATGCAGGTTAAAAGGAGACCAAGACAGAACATGCCGTTCCTTTGATGACCGGACTTTGAGGAAGCAGAAGATGTTGCGTGTTTTGGGAATTTTCGAGTTCGCCTCAGCATCTGTAGATAGCAGTACTGGATAGATGACTAAACAGTTTGACACGTTGGCTTTCCTGTCCGGTGCTAAGAAATCCACCTTCTAGGGAGTCGACATCCAGCAACAGGCCAATTTCTGTTTAAGAACCTGTTGATCAGCTGAATATTAATTGACAATGTCGTGCTTAACTGAAAAGAGCACTTCCTTTTGGGGGCACAGAACAAATGCAGAACCAAGAAGTGAGCTTAAAAACACGTTTAATTGTTTTCATATTTTTTCACCGTTATTTATTATTACAGGGCTACCATCTGTGAACCAAGTATGTAAACTGACATTTGTACATTAAAAAAACATCTAAGAAGGTGAGATTCGACTCCCCATGTGCTGTAAAATCTGCTGCTCACAGGAAACGACACAGACAATAAATGCCATTGTTTCATCACCCAGTGTGACAGACTAGACAAACTACAGGTTGCATGGAGTCGGCCAGAGCAGTTAAACTAAATTAAAGCTGACCCCAAACCCGGAGTAGTGTGAAGTTGAGAAGATTTGAGCTTTGTGCTGAAAGCAGCCATCAGACGAGGAGTACACTGTGCTCATGAGCTAAGTCAGGGGTGTAGAACTCCAAGCCTCGAGGGCCAGTGTCCTGCAGGTTTTAGATGTGTCCTTGATCCAACACAACTGATTCAAATGGCTAAATTACCACCTCAGCATGTCTTGAAGTTCTCCAGAGGCCTGGTAATGAACTAATCATTTGAGTCAGATGTGCTGACCCAGGGTGAGAGTTAAAACCTGCAGGACACCGGCCCTCGAGGCCTGGAGTTTGACACCCCTGGGCTAAGTGGTGCAGGAAAATATCATCCACACCAATGCACCTACCATCCAGCAGACTCAGCCGACCAGCATTCTTCCAATTTTCAACTTTTAGTGAACCCGTGAGAACTGAAGTCTTAGTTTCCAGTTCTTAGATGAGTGCATTATTATTATTATTATTTTTATTGCCTTCCTATCGGCTCAAAACAGTCTGGACATTCACTTTTGACTTTTAGCATCATTGCGGTGACTGGGTATGGGAGTTCAACACTGCATTATCAGAGTGTGAATGTGTCTTACTGTGATGCAGTAAGCACTCGGACATAAAAACAAGTATATGGGTGAATGTTGTATACGTGGGAAAGCCTCTGAGATCTTCCTTATTGAACTTGCGCATAAGCTTCATTAATAACATTGCCATTCATGTTCAGCTTCAGCAGGAAGTCATGATATGTAATACATCTTGATATATGCCTAAATGCACTGAGTGGTGCACGTGATTGCACAGAAAACAACACTTTCAGAGAGCCCCAATCGGCCCCTACCCGAGTCTGGTTCTGCAGGAGGTTCCTTCCTTCCTATTGTCGCCAAGTGCTTGCTTGTAGGGGGCTGTCTGATTGTTGTGTTTTCTCTGTATTACTGTAGTTCCTTTACCTTACAAAATAAAGCACCTTGAGGGGACTGTCATAACTTGGTGCTGTATAAATAAAATTGAATTGAATATAAATAATTAAAAGCTGTTATCTTTCAGAGAGTGAGCTGTTCGTGTGAATGAATATCCTCTTGCACAAGATATTCTGAGAAAATTACCTTTTCTTATTACTTCCCTTTTTAGCTGAGCTCGACAAGAATTCAGAATTTACAACATGCCAGTAAGATAACTGGACTTTACCGTGTCGTGAATAAAGGAACAATCAATATAATCCAAGCTTTTTTTTTAGTGCATTGCATCGTGTAGCTGAGCGGAAATGGTAATTTTGTCTGAAAACAATATGCACAATTTCCACAAACAAAGCATTTGTCGAAATCGCCCCATACATGCAACTGATGTGTTCCATTTTGGTCTGTTAGCCAACACCTGTTACAACATGTCTGTTTTCAATGTGCGTGCGTGTACTTGGGGAGCAAACATCACAGAGAGGCCAAAGACGAAAGGGCACAACATTGTTGTTTTAAAATTACTTTTAAAGTTTATTCAAAGAAAACAAAACAAAAAACTTTCAGGAAAATACATGACTTCCTGTCATACACAGAGAGGACATAAGTTAGAGTAGCACGGCAGAAACAGCAGAGGAAAAAACACGTTGCCTCACGTCCAAGCCTGCAAGGAACGTTACTGTAATGTTTCCATGTTGAAGCAGCGTTGTGTGAATACCTGAAATGAACAACACGTGTGTTCTTTGTTGTGGAAAAAGTTAGCAGGGGTGGGAGAAATGACAAAGAAAAATAAATAAAAACTAACGAAAAATTTAAAATATCCAATAAAAAGTGGGCTCAAAAAGCAGAAAGTATGAGTTAAAGAACTAAGATGCATTATGCTCTCAAACATAAATACCATGATGCACATTAGTGTAACAAAACATTGCCTCTGTAAACAGTTTCTCCACCTAAGGTGAGTGTAATAATATTAAACCACCGCAGTCGCATAGTTACGTTTACATAGACTTACAGAAACAACAGAAACTATTGTTAAGCTTCTCAACTAGCTCTAAAACTTAAGAATACACAATGCTTCGAGTGATTTTTTAAGTTTTTTTGTTGTTTTTATTTTTTGAAAGAAAGGATTTCCAAGTAGTGGTTCTTATAACAACAGGTTTACACGTTTTAAATGCTGCCCTCTTGGCACTTTTTCCAACACAAGCCTGCAAGCGACTGATTCGTCTCAATCGGCTCGTTTCTTTCCTTAGATCAATAAGAATATTGATAATAGCCACAAATTATTTTCATGAATTCAATACAGCCACTCATCAAGGCCTTGATGCAAGAAGAGACACACACCGAGCATTACTGCACATGCAGACCTCAGACAAAAGCACTGGGGCCCGAACGGCTTCTCCATACAGAGACATAAACTAAGTGACCAACAGTAACCTTATCGTCAAGGAGGGAAAACACCCAAGATAAGCTTGTTTGTGTCCTGACAAAAGGTGTGTTTGGATATGACGTCATAGATCGGACTCTCCCCTTGCTCTTCCTGTGAGCAAATGATGAGAATCATTGCAAAAAAGGAAGGAAAAAATCCAGCTGGGCAAAGATCGTCCATGCCGAAGGTTGTTGCTCAGTCTTTCGCATACAGGGAACTTCAATAACAGCTGGAGTGGGGCATGAGGGGGTTAGGGAGGGGCACAAAATAGACAAACTATTCCTTCCTATAAAAAAAAAGAAAAATGGGGATTCTCTCGTCAGTTCCTTCACAAACAGCCGAGTGAGGGAAAAATCTCTGCTCAGTGTTGCCTGTTTGGAGACACTTCATCACAGTAACACTGAAATCCAGAGTCTGAGTGCTGAATCAATAAAGGAGCGCGTGTTCTCGTTGGAACGGGAAAGCCGCGAGAAACGCTCCTCAGCTCTGACACACAGATTGCCGAAGGCTGCGAAACAAATACGGAATCGAAATATGTACATCTGACGCAGAGGCTCTGCTGCCGCCGCCGCAGCTTCGACTCCAAAACCGAACACCTAGGATTGATCACTCGTGACAAGATACAAAGCAAAAACGTCATCTCATGCCTTGGACCACCACACAGTAATAAGTCTTTCTACATTCTTGACACTTAGTGCATTGAATACATACAAATGTTCTAAATGAAGCATGAAATGAGTCGAAGTCATGAAATGGAAGATGGAACTCCGCCTCCTGTGCCAAAACAAACCCGCCAACCACGTGTTTACCTCTCTGCCACTTAAACCCAAAGCGATGCCGAACTGTTGACGGCACACGCGCACACATACACGTACTAAACTTTCTCATCTACATTATCTCTCGATTTTTTCCCCTCTCTCCACGTTATATCTGTTTATTCACAGCAGTTCAAGTTTCTCGAGTTAAGATCGGGTCGTCATGCTTCCCCGCCGCCGGTCCGACACGACAAAAGTTCCCAAAGCTTTATTTGTACATAGACACTTTATTTAATATTTTGGATCACACCCGCATTGCATTCTTTTCATACGGACACACCTTACACTTCTGTGGGTTTAGAGCAAGCAAGTTGTGTAGGTGGATGTGTGTGAATGATTAAAAAAAACAAGGTAAAAGACATGTTTAACTCCACATAGTTACACTTATCTTCAAGGAATAATAATGATTCAAAAAATACTATTCTGAAATCCATCACCTACACCAACTCTCTCCGCCCTCCCCTTCTTTTTAAAGCGCCTGTCCGATACAACACTATACTTCAACCACACACACGCACGCACACACCCTCATGTTTGAGTCCTGTCAACCTAAACTTAATATTAGGTCCCTTTCTCATGCTTGTCACTGAGCCTCCAGCTCATTGGACAAACCAGCATGTTAGCAGTAGGTGGACCAAACAGAAGTACATTTACACACACACACACACACACACACACACACACACACACACACACACACACACTACTGTAGCATTAATACAACACACTCTAGAGCCCCACCAGCCCCACGCTCACAAGAAGGGGCGGATGGTGGGAACATGGGGCAAAGG